TTTTTACCTGAGAGATTATTTCTGATCTGATGTCTTCTATGGCCTGATGGAGTTGTTTCTTTACTTCCATTGCAATCATTTCAGCAATTTCAGGAGTGTGTTTATGAAGTTCTCCTATGTGGATGTCTCCTGGACTTGCTGTGGGTGGGGTGGGGTTCTGAGATTGCATTTTAGTCCTTGTCATGTTTGATGCCAAAGGCAGAGCACCCATGCTCCCTCTTTCCTGGCAGCTCAGCAAAGGTCACTAGTGTCCCTAGTTTTCCTGGTGGTCAGACTTGCCTCTCAGTGGCCACCAAGATGGGCTGCTCACTCTGGGGTCTTCTAGTGGTTGGTGGAATGTACCTAGTTCTCCCAGATGCCAGACATGAAACACAATGTCAGCAGATCCCAGACTGCCTGATCAAGTGTCCCCAGGCAGCTGAGGGCACACCTATGACCCAGAAGCAGGCTGCACTGGTGGCGTGATCACAAACCACTTGGTCCTGTGTCCCCAGACAGTTCAGGGCAAGCAGAGCCCAGACACGAACCGCAGAGTCAGCAGTTTGTGGACTGCCTGTTTCCATGTCTTCAGGTAGTTCAGGGTACATGCAGGAACCAGACACAGGCTGCACTGGTGGTGATCACATAGTGGACCACCTGTTTCTATGTCCTCCAGGAGGTCAGGGCATGTGCAAAGCCCAGACGCAAAATCAGTGTCAGCAGTTTGTGGACTGTCTGATCTAATACCTTAGGCAGTGCAGGGCACACACTGGTGGGCCCAAATGCAAACCCCGATGTTAGCAGTTTGTGGGCCTTCTGAGCCAGTATCTCCTGGCTGTGCCTGGCACACAGAGTATGTCACTCTTTTGTTGTTATTGGCTGCACAATATTTACATATACTCTGTGATTTTTTACTAGATTTTACCAAAACTCCCTTTCCATTTTTCTTTCATGGCTTCCTCCACCCTGACTCTCACTTTACCTTGTCTTATAGAAATCACAGGTCTTACTTGAGATAGCTTACTATTTATTTCCAGGACCTTTGATATTTCTGGAGTGCTTGGTGAGGTATCATGTGTAATCATTTGGGAGAAAGGGAACTTACACTGACTTTAGTCTTTTTGCTACTTCTGCTCCTTCTGGCCAAGTGTACCCATAAACTACAGAGAGGGCTAGATGACCAGATGAAATACAGTAGACCATGTTTCAAGATCTACTATCAAGTTATACTGACTGGGAATTTGTATTTTGTTTGTTATCTGAGACTCGTCACTGGTCTAGCGCAAGTCTGTTATTTGGCATACAGAGCTCTTTGTTGTTTGTCATTATGACTATCCATTTCTCTTGTCAAAGTAGAACACAATGTCCTATAGAGTTTATTCTTAGTCCTGACAGAGGATGCACTACACTAAACCTGAAGACATGAATTTTATTAACATATTGTGCAAAAATAATTTGCTTGTAAAAATGGCCTTTGGACATTTTTTAATTCAACTTAACTCAAATCAGGAAAAATTCAAACTAAATAAATAAATCATACCAGATTATATTATTTAGACTCAAAATTTCTACAGAAGGGTATGTGAGTTTTTTTCCTATGATGGTTTATTATATATTACATTTTCTTGCCAAAAGTACACTCAGAATAATGTGAAAATATTTTTATCTACCTTTAAGTTAAACTAGATCCTCAACCTTGTCAGTGTGATAAGATCACCTACTTTGAGAAAAAGATGCTAGCCATCCCCAACTATCTGTAAGGTGCCCAGGCATTTGGTACGTTTTTAAAACTCCCCAGGTAATTGCAAAATGCAATCGTATTTAACCTTGTCTGAATGTTCTTTGCTTTTTTTGAAAATGGTTTCTTAATGGTTTTTTAATCATCTGTTATATAAAAAATGTACTTACATTATACAGTATATGTCAAAGGATATCATCGATTATATTTACATTTATAGAAGCATTTCTAGTTGTTGAACTGGAATGTTCTAACTCTCTTTTTAAACTTGGTTCAGTTCGATGCCAAACTAGCAAGACTTCAGACTAAATCAAAAGCTTATCCAGATGCTACTATTTCCCCACAAAGTATCTACAGAAGGGTATGTGAGTTTTAATCCTATGACTATTACTTAAGAAAATATATCTTCTTACTGTGTTTCTATAGAAATTCATATGTTGATTAATACTATGTCTAGAAGATTTTGTTTTTGTGTCCATAAACTGGTTTCATCCTATTAAGTCCCACAAAACTGAAATTATAGACCTTTCAAAATAAAGTATCCTAGCCTGTCATGGTGGCTGGTGGCACATGCCTATAATTCCACCAGTTGGGAAACCACTACAGGCAGATCATTTTGAGTTCAAGGCTTGCCTGAATTACATAATAAAACCTTGTGTCAAAAAGAAACTAAAAAAATAAAAATATGGTATATTTTTAAATACATGCATAAGCCCAATGTGTAATTTTTAATTGTTGTTCTTTGTACTTAGTCTTATTATTTATGAATTGCATTAACAAATTCTTTTCTGTTGCATTTAGAAGCTTCAACATCTTCGAGAAGAAAAAGACAAGGAAATTGCACTTCTTCGTAATACCATTCATGATTTGGAGCAGCGCCTTTCTATTGGCAAAGATTCTCACCTTAAGCGTAGACGATTTTGAATATAACAATAAATTCATTAATTAGTATTTACTTTTTAAAAAGCATTTGAAAAATTCACTTCCATTTTCAACATAAGCCTAAATAATAAAAAGGAGACACTTTAAAGATTTTTATTGAATTTATTTAGACAGATCCATACATTGGCCATTCATGTACTACATTCTTGCTTACTGGTATTGTCCATAAAGAAGTTCAGGTCTATAGGGTTTAGTTTACCTATTAAACCATCATTGACTATGGAAATACTCTCCAAGCAGTCTAAAGATAGACATTTCTTTCTTTTCCTTTATAGCCATTCAAAATTCAGAAGTATTATATAATGATAGATAAAGAAAATAAGATACAAAGACTTTATGTAAAAATCAAGATATGAGTCTTAGGTATAGAAAAATTAAAGGACATTTAAAAATGACATATGCCTTTTAAGCAAAATATTCATGTGTTAAGAAATAAAATTCACTTCTTTCTGTAAATGTTTATTCAGTTTAAAATGTAAGATTAAAAAGACAAAGATAATATGGTTTGAGATGAGTAAAGAAAAAATGGAAAACATGTCTTTGTTGTTCTTCCTTCATTCTAAATTACTAAGTGTCCAACAGAAACCCCTAGGTCATAGTTTATGTTTCTGTTCTCATTAATGCAAATAGAATACTGAAAAAAGAGCAAGAAAGACATATTAACCAAAAGGTGCAATCACTTTTCAGTTGCTCCATGATAAAAATGTGGTTTGGGTCAAAAATTTTATGACATAAAATTTAGAAACCAATCTAGAAGATTTCTCCATATTTGCATAATCCAGTTCCTATTTTAATTTACTAATTAAGTAGTTTATAAAATTTTGGAAATGAAATTGTGTCTGCAAATTGATTTAGGGAGTGTATCTTGTCTTAAATATTTAGTTTGAAGGTCATTTTCACTTTTGTGCCATATTTTTTCAACTTCAGTCACGGTTGGTTTCTGTGGGTTTCTGCTGCTGACTTATTTGTCAGGCAGTTGGAGGCAATCGACACTGACAAGATTCAATGACTTTCTCCTCTCCCAAAAGTCCCTGACAGCTGCATAAAGATGGGAGATTTTCTGCACACTGGCAGGTGACTGAAGACCCTGTTTTTTCAAATATCAGATGTCGACAATGGCAGCAACAGCTTCTAGGAGCTAATTGTGAATCTTTGGATGACTTACACAGTAACTGGTTTTTGCACCCCTTTTGACAGAGTTTTCTTAGTGAAAGTTGTAAACTTTCACCTGGTGGTATATCTCAACTCTCTGAGTGACCCTGCCTGGCTTGGCCCTTGAGCTGATGGTGCTGATGAAGGCCTAGCGGAAGGGAAAGCACAGGATTATCTGGTGCTCCTGGTTCCTTATTCTGAGAGAGTTCACTGCTCCCAAGATGCTGATGCCCCTGCTTGTGAGGTTGGTTTTGATGGTTATGTGGCTGTGGAGCCTCAGTTGTTTTTACCACAGTAGCCAAAGATACATTTTTACAGAAGTCTTCATCTTCAAGAGTCTGGAACACATTTATAAAGCACTTACCAATATGCATTTGGCAGGAATTCATGAAAAATCACTTATAGAGCTAACAGTATGGACTTCCAACTAGTTATTTAGGATAGATCTGGCTTTCTTCTACCTTCATATTAATGAAAGAAGTCTGATGTTAATCTCAACACCTAGAATTCTTACTAAAGGCTTAAAAGAAAGCCAAACTACTATATTTATCTGCAAAAGCAGAACTAAGAAACCTGATGAAAGAATTTAGATTGCATTGGAGTCAACCTACTAACAAATTGAAAAATCATTTGACATGAAATCTTTCACACCTGTGTCAACAGTGTACCTACTCTAATACTGTTTCATTGAGCAAACTGGCTTCTCTGCTAACTCCAGAAAGCCAATAAAATTGTTTAAATTGTTTCTGTTTCATATTTTGACATATGCCAGAAATGTTTCGAAGTCAACCAAAGCTTTACTAATATATCTATTGTATTTCTGTCAGGTGAAAGTAGCAAATTACTGCCCCTTTCTCACTGACCATAATCTTCCATTCTGCATGTCACTAGTTCCTTAATTAATTGGAAGTCTTCACTGTTTTGTGGTATCCACAAACAAATTCAAGGCCTCTCTATATCAGCATAATTAATATAATTATTCCTAAAGTTGGTTTGTAAATAAAATTACAAAATCAACTTGAGAACTCAAAGACTTACTAAGTAGCATGGCTTAATATTTTGAAGGTTTTGAACAGTTTTAAATTCCACTGGATTTTTTGCATATAGCTACTGAGGGGTGCAGTTTTTGGTTATTTATGAGTTACTTCTAAATGAGAATTTAGTATATAATTATAAAATTACAAAAAAAAAATGTTCAAAGCTGGGCATGGTGGCACACACCTGTAATCCCAGCTGAGATAAAAGAATCAAGTTCAAAGCCTGCCTGAGCAACTTAGAGACACCCTGTGTCAAAACAAAACGGCTATACATATAGCTCACTGGTAGAGCACTTCCCAATCATGTGCAGAGCCCTGAGTTCAATTCCCAAATTCCCAGTATTGCAATCAGTTAATCAATCAAGTGTTCAATTATTAAACACATATCTATTGTAGCAGCCTAATTACTTTCATAAAATCTATTAACTATATTTCATTGATTCTATGACACTTTTATGATACTATTTCTAACATTAGGAAACATCTGACTATATTCTATGATACTATTTGTAACATTAGAGTATATCTGACTATATTTTGTGATACTATTCTAATATTAGAGTATATCCTATTGGTGTTTTAGCATTGTGTATTACTTTAATTGCCAGCATTTTTTTCTTAATACTATGTTAAATAATATGTCATATAATTGATGGCACCTAGGAAACAATGACATTGAAAAATCCCAATTTGATTTGAAAGTATTAGATACATGTATTATTCTTATTTATAGGTAGTTTATAAATTGCACAGCATAGAAATAATCTTGAAATATAACAGAGCCATACAACTGGCATTTAAGTAACTGGTATAGGAAGACACCCTGTACTTTATTTGCATTACCTCATCTTCTCAACTTTAACACCAGAAAATAACTCTCATGGGGTTCTTATAAGAATAAAATGTGAAAAAATGACATAATTAACCTGTTGCATTCACTACCAACTAAAAAGATAAGTGATTTGTTAAAAGTTGAGGTACCTTTCTTCAGAGCTAGGAAATATATGAAAGTACTGCTCAAAAATAGAATACAATATTGTTTTAAATGTGAATTCAAATTTTGCCAGTCACCCTATTATGGAAACATGGCTTAGAATTATTTTATTTTTAATACAAGGAAAAACACCCAGTTATAGAAATTAAAATCAGTTGTCTTTTATTTAAACATTTGAATATAGTGCTTCTTATAACAAGGAATGATTATTTCATGGTTATTAAGGAATAAATAATAGTAGTAGAAAACTCTCTGTTTTCAAGTAAATGCAATAATTCAGATTGAAAAATGGGGAGGTAGTATAAGGACTTCACAGAAATAGCTGGATATGTAGCCTTAGTAAATTAAGTAGTTATCTGGTTTTAATTCCTTGGCAAGTTCTGCCTTGGGTAAGCTTTGCTATTGCTATGTATTTGTGTGAGCATGTTCAGGTTACTACAATAATATAGTTTTATATGTTTACTAAATTCTTTGAGCATCTCATACAATATCATTTAGTGATAATCTAGATTGATTTTTATTTTCCAAAACCTTTCCAGATAAAGGCAGCAACGTAGATTTTTAAAATGTTTTAAAGTATACATTATGTAACAGAAAATGTGTGTAATTATAAAAATTATTTAGTTGTAGTATAGCTAATTGATTGTGAAACACTAACTTATTTAAATAGCTCCCAAAACATTTCCTCTTTTCTCCCAGTAAAAATAATTGAGAAAAACAGCATACCTTGAGAGAGCAGTTTCCGCACTTTTCTTCACAGTAAGCAATCTTAATGGCTTCTTCTACATATGGGAAACTTAGGAAGGAGTAAGGTAGACCAAGATGGTATACGAGACGACCACATCTGAAGGACAGAGGAAGTGGGGAAAATACAATGTTATCCAGTATTTTTGCATTACTCATACATTGTTTGGGATAGGTATTATAAGCACTTAGTTTTACTGGTCTTACAACTAAGACCCTTTCACATCTTCAGTAAATTTCCTTGGATGCAGTTCACAAAGGAACTCCCAGGCACTGTGTACTAGATCAGACTGCAGTGGGTCTAATATTAACATTTTGAAATCCAGATTTGTCACTAAATAAAAAAGTCATAGTCACCCAATCAAAAATAATTTTGTAATTTACCTATAAATTTTACCACATCCCAAGCCACACTTATATATACTCTGGAACATGAGCTTTTCATAACTGCTAAGACAGCACAAATGTCACAGAATAAGAGATTATACCACACCCAAAAACCCCCAAGTCTTGGCAAGTAACCCATTTATTGAAAAATAGATCTGATGCAGCAAAAATATCAGCACAGTGAAAGAATTGGAATTATAACACTTGGCATCCTCAGAAATGGTAGAATTGAAATTTCCTTGTTGCCTATATTCTATCCAGTGTATAAGACTTTATGCAAATATCAAAGTGCTAGGCTTTATAACTAACTTAGAAGTTCAGAGGCCTGAAAGAGTGAAATGTAATATTAAAAAGATATGTTTAGGCATAAGCAGAGTCTGACTCACCAGATTATAATGAGCCAAAAGAAAACAAATCACCAAGAATATTTTCATGGCAGATTGTTATGGCTTGTATCTAGATGTCCCTGCTAAGCCTCATAGGTGGGACTTTTCAGAGGTGGCTAGATTTAGAGTGCATGATGATGGGATTAAGTGTGTGATGCTGGGATTAAGGGTATGAGATCACTAGATTAGTCCACTGATTGGGTGGGTATAGTTCTGGGAGTGGATAATGGGAAGGCCCTCCCTGGACATGAGTAGCTTGGATACAATATAAGGGAAAGAAAGAAGACTGCTGTGGTTGCTTGTTACTTGCTATTTCTCTGCTTTGCTGCCTTCTGCCTGCCATAACCTGGGAGCCAGCCAATTATGGACTGAAACCTTTACAAACTGTAAGCTGAGATGCCTCTCCCCAGGCATCCAGTGGGGTTCAGAGGAGCTGATGGGAGATTAAGAAAGAACTAGACACATAGTAAAAGGAAAGCTGAGGCTGGGTGAGACTTGACCTCTCTGATGGAGAGGCACTGACAATCCAGGATGGTCTGTGTCTTTATGTATGCACAGTAAAAAGAGGAAAAGTGTGCAATGAGGCTGAAAGTGCAAGGTCTCAGTGTTTTGCTGAGAACTTTAAAAGAGAAACACTCTCAGAGTTATCTGTGTAGAGGAACACCAGGGCCAGGCCCGTGCTGGACTGGCCTTGCTCTAGTCCCAACAGCTTATTTACATGGCTCGCCTCTGGTGCTCCACGTTCCAGGGGCTGGCCTTCCTCTAGCCCCAAATGTGTGGGGGTTCTCCAGCTCAGCTGCTCCCCACACTTAAATACACCTTTTCTCCTTTAATATGGAGTGTTGAGTATTTTGTCTCAGCAATGAGAAAATACAGAGATAATATATGTAGGGAAGTTCTCTTGAAATATGAATATTTTATTTGTTCATGGAATCAAAAATAAATTCATGTAAATAATGCTTAAATGATTAACACACAGTCTTAGTTACTTTTCTCTTATTGCTGAGACAAAATACCCAGTTCCCAAAATTAAGTAAGGTTTATTTAGCTCACAGTTTATGGAGGTTTCAGTCCATAATCAGCTGGTTCCAAGGCAGGGTGGCATGCTGAGGGACATAGAAGACAGCAAAAGCAACAAGATCAAAAGGGAGAGGCAATGAGGCTTTTTTCTCACTTATATTGTAATCAGGTTACCACCCCCAAGAGTGGGTGTAGCACTCACACCATCCCTGTGCTCTCCTCTTAACACAGGATGAGGATGCTTACAAAACGTCCTGCTGAATTGCTTAAACTTCTAAACTTCTCAAGTTGACACAATGTATCAACCATAATACGCACTTCACTTTAGAAATGCAAGTATTTAGCTTTAAATTTATAAATGTTTATAAACAAATGCCACAGTGAAAGTATTCATCTGAACAATACCAGGATTAGAATTACAGATAAAGTACACATGGATCTTTCTATTTATGTAACCAGAATGTCAGTTTACCTGTTGAGAGAGAGATGTATACTCAGTGTTCTTTACCTATCGGAATGGTAAACACTTTTACATACCTGACCTTCAAAACAGTCATTTTAAAGCTTTGGAAACCAAGCTCCTTAATGGGCTTATTTTTGAAACTGAGTATTTGGTAATAAAACAAAACAAATGTCTTATTTTAAATCTTTTATTATCCCCCAAAAGAATTGCTTTATATAACACACAGGTTAATGTAGGATAAGACTTGGGAAGAAAATGGGTCAAGATTTGAATAGCTGAATTTACAATGTTTGTGAATGTATCTGAGAAGTGGATATCAGGTCTAGAGTTTAGTCACTGTGTTTGAACTTTGAATTTAGGATTATCAGAACATGTATTTGTAGTCAAGGAATAGATGAGATTGCTCACGCAGAACATGCAGTGTGAGGAGACGGAAACCTCAGTGACCTTAGTAATGCACACATGTATGGAATAAACAGGAAGAATGTAGAAGGAAAATGAACGAGGAGGAGAAAGAAAAGGAAAGATGGGAAAAAACAGCAGAATATGGAGTTACAGAAATAAGATGAAAATATTTTTAAAACTAGTTTTTATTCTCTTTTCCAATTTTCATTTTTTATTAGTACATGTTTACAGTACATAATGATTATATTCCTTATGGGGAGTTGGTACATGTACATAACACATTCTTTTTTCAACTCATAGTTACTACTTCTAAATGTTAATGAGGGAGTATATGAGATGAAAAGTGAATATGGCATTACATTTAACAATAAAGAGGGTTGTTATATGCGATGACAGTAAATAAATACAAAACATGTATCTAATTTGAGTGAGGATGGGTACATACCTGTCATAGATAAAGAAGTCATCTTTATTTCCATTTAAGAGAGTCCAGACATCTGTTTGGTGTTCTTCTTGTTGATAAACAGGTATATGATCAGAAACTTGATTTTTAAGGTGTATGTATTTTAACTGAGAATCAATTCCTTGATGATTAACAATAACATAGGAAATATTAGAATAGCCTTCTTTCTCCAGTTTTACTCGCAGGTCTTCAAATCTAAGGTATTTGGGAAAAAAATACATAAGATGAATAATCTCATGTAATTTGATTAGAGGTCTTTTCTCCTTTCACAATTTTTTCTCCCGTGAAATTCATTAGTTTTGACTGACCTATATTTGTTCTTTACATTGTAACAAGATTCTGAAACTTTCATTTTTTAGAATTATTTAAAATGTGCTCAGTTAAAACTTTATGCTAACTTCTCCCACAAACATTAGCTCATTTAGTCCTCAAATTAATCTTATGAAGTGTATATTTTTGAAATTTGTCTTATAGAGAATTCAAACAATGTTGAAAATTTGGTGAAAAATCTGGCAATTATTTTGATATATGTTTATTAAGTGATCCAAGACCTTTGATAGCCAGTGTAGTTTGCGTGTTACTTTGACAAAAAAATCTCTTCTTATAAATGTCACATTTTCAGGAGTTCATTTTAAAACATCTTCATTACACAAATAATGCATATTTAGTAGGAAGTTTAAAATATAGGTCCACAAAATAAAAAGTGTTTGTAATCACAGGAAAGCAACCATAAAATTTTGGTATATATTCTCCTAGTCTTTTCTAATTTATTCTATTCAAATACATACAGTTTTTCCAAAAATGTGACTTAACCGGTATGTTGTTTCCATTTGTAGTTTAAGTATATATGTATGTGTGTATTTAATAGCTTTTCCTGAAATATATTCTGAACCACAAAAAGACTTTCTTACCTGGATGCCTGCAGAATGCACAGATATCAGCTGGCTTGAAGAAGAGCAACCACAGTCACTGTGCCAGTGGCACTCAGCATGGGATTTTGATCTCTTATGCTCCATGCTGGGGGTTGCTTACAAAAGGAGCTTTGGCTCTGGCTCTCTGTTCCCCTACTAGGGAGGAGACAGAGAGCCAGGGCAAGCCCTAGACTTCGCCACATTGCTGGGGTTGACCTATAAAAGAGAAAACTGGTAGCCTTCTTCATAGATAACTTTACAGTCATAACTGAACTTCTATAGACTCAGCAGATAATAATTCTACTTCTTTTAATATGTAGCCCATGCATTCTACTTCTTTTAATATGTAGCCCATGCATTCTGCCTCCGTTTTGTTGGGCTCAATATGCCATTGTAATGAACACTAAAACTCTATAAAGAGGAAGTTATCAGGCAGAGGCCTGGAAGCTATCAAAACATTTAACTACCTGGCTTAGCAAGATACTGTAGTAAGCATGCTATGGAAATTTGCCTTATCAGCCAGCCATGCACTTTGCCAGAAGGTACATATCTTTTTAAATGTTCAGACTTTTGTTTATATAGTCACATAACATTCTGCAAGCACTATCTGCCTTTGATTTGTGATATACCAAGTTCTGACTACTTCTTTCTGATCTCTCAGAGTCTAAGGAAGTAAAATATCTAAGGAAGTAGGAAATTCTCTACAGAAATGATAAAAAACCAGCACAGAAAGATCTCAAGAAGAAAGGAACTCGTCCTGAGGGCAGTTTACCAAAGTGAATGTTGCTCATGTTGGGCCGTTAGCACTTGAAACTCAAACCTTCCACATGAATAAATACCTTGGATATAGCTCCCTTTCATTTCTTATACCTTAAAGCTTAGCTACATGTTAACTATTACAGGAATTTAACCTTTCAAAATATAAGATTATCTATCATATCATTACTTCCACACCCATGATAATATCAAGGTGGGGGAGAACATGGCCAGGAGGAATCAGAAATCATTGCTCCTTATATCATTTAAGGCTCACTAAATCTATAGTCAATTAGTCTATTATGGGCTACTACTACTTTCAGAAAACTCCTAAAACTAGACAGCATATTCATGCATAAAGAGTCCCCTTTTGAGCAGATAAGTTAAAATATTAAATACTGATCAGAAATATCCCCCAAACTAAGGCCAGCTCTCTTAGCAGGATGATTTTTTTTTAAAAAGATGCATTTAGAGAAGTGATAATGAAAGGAACACACTCAGCACAGATAAGCAAAGAAAAATTCCACACAGGTAATCCAGGCTTACTTTGATGTAGGAGTCTGTGAAGAAAAATCGGAAAACTCCAAAACTAGGAAGTCAGTACATTTTTAGGCACTGATCTACTATTTTTAAAAAGCAAAAACCTTTCTTTGGATGGAAGTTGCTAACAAGACCTGGAATAAGCCCAGAATTAAAAGATGAGTAGAAAGCTAAAACCAGACTCCAGAGGACATAACTTAAAAATCTGATTATCTTGCATGTTATTTAACAACTCAAAATATCTACTTATAGAGGATACTTGATAAGAGTCTAACCTCCCAAAAAAGAGATGGAGAGAGTGAAGAAGGGAGGGGGGATGACCACTGAATCCATCTCAACTATTTTAATATTTTAAATATTATAATTTTAAGTCTGGAAATATAGTTCACTGGTAGAGTACTTGCCTGGGTTGCACAAGGCCTTAAGTTTGATCCCCAATCCTGAAAAAAATGTAGTGATTTTCCAAAGGATATGTTTGTACTAAATCTGAGAATTTCTTTAGGATGCTATTTACATTGATGACACAGTTGTCCTTATTGTAGTTATCATTTATTGAACATTTATAGAACTATATACAGGCAGCACTAAGCAGTTTGTATTCATGTCAGTTAATTCTTACTCCTTTTGCAGTCGAAGTTTTGGCTAAGGGAGAGTTTAAACATCTTATCTGTGATCACATGTGCAATTAATAACAGAGAAACGATTCTAATCAATTCTGTCAGTTCAAAAACCTCTTAGCTACTCTGCAACATATTGATAGTTTTTAGGTAGATCATCTTGTAATAACTAAGACAGCCAACTTTGTTTATTCCCTAAGATGGCAAGGAGATCATCAGAATAATTTAACTTATTTTATTTCTTAATAAAATGTCCATTTTCTAAAATAAAAATTTACACAAGCTCTTGGACTTGATCTCTCTCAACTACAAAAATTAATTCAGTAGTTACTGAATTAATGTAACTTTATGGAACCTCCATCATAAAGTCAGCAATTAATATTTTAACTTTGCTATGAGGCAAAGTTTCAGGTGCTAAAGAACAAATATAAATGAAAAGACTATTTCCTTCAATTAGGTTTCTACTGGTAAAATAACCCATCAGTAGTGGATTAAAGAATTCACAATTTCAGATTTTCCTCTGCCATTGTAATCAATAGGCTGTTCAACTTTACTTGCTTGAAATAACTTATATAATAAGCTTTTGGTTTTAATTATAGTTGTCAAACAGCTGTATAAAAATAACAAGGATAAATAACAAAATTGGATTTTACTGGAAACATTAAATAATTGCAAAGTAGTTGTAACTTTCACTAATATCATAGCTTTTCAATTAAAAAACAGATTAGTTGGCCATATGTAGACCTACATTTTTAAAAATTTCCCACTAAAATGCAAGCTATTCAGAAACTATTTTCTCTAGGCTTCAGGCCAGCATCTGAAAGTTTCTCAATCCCCTGAAGACCCATTCTGCACTTAAAATACAAAATTTTCTGTTTCAGCATAGACCACCACATTCTGACATGGATTTTAATTCCTTTGAGGGTGGCACTGTGGGCAGAGCCTGCACCACCCCCACCACCTGTTTTTCTGAAACTGCTCACAATATCCTTAGACATTTCCACAGCACTGTAGAATGAGCATATTTCAGTCTCTACAGATCCACCATGTTCTTTTTTTCCTGTTGGTTTTCACTTTGCCTTTTAGCGGGAAGTACTTAAATTTGCTCAAATGACATTGCCTGTACCCCCGCAGAGTGAAAGTGCTGGATTCCTCCAGCTCCCCTATGCTCAGCCGTGCTGGAAGGCAGGACAGACACCAACATAAAAGTCAGCTGTGCACACTAAGAACTTTACCCACCACACCCGAGCTCAGAATCTTCTGTTCTTTTCCTTATTATTTTTATTTCCTTACCCATCTTTTTCTAAGTCTATTGAAAAGGCAAAATATCTTCTATCACATTCAAAAAAATATTTAACAAACTAAAGGAATCAACAATTGGAAAACAAAATTCCTACTTACGCAACCCCTTCAGATCAGCTTGCTTCCTTTCTCTTTGCTTTTCTGGGGCTGCTCCACAAAGGCACAGTGAGAAACGCTGGTATTTATAGTCCTGTTGTTTACTTCACTTCTCAGCTATAGTCCAAAGTCCAGTGCTGTCTCTTGCAAACAGAGCTAGTCCCTGAATTGTAATTACTGTTAAGTTAAAAGAAAGCACCAAGTCCTGCCATGCATGAAGTGGAGGAAAGAGTTTCAACAATTATAAATATATCCCCTATGGTTTTCATCACCCCAGTATTTAGGATTTAATGGTACAGTCCGGAGTGAGAGGAAGTGCAAAGGGTAGAGAGGGCCTGTGAGTCCTGTTCTTTTCCAAAATATAATAGGGAAAAACATTTGCTGAGCCAGCAAGTTATGCTGCCATTGTATTTTTTAAAATCTGTTTTTCCCTTTTCTTTGTGGTGATGAAGTACTAGCCTCACCTACACTGTGACCTTTGTTAGAAAAATTCACCTGTTGTTTTAAATTGTTATGTTCTCTCATGTTACAGAACAGTGTCCATTGTTTTTCTGTGTTTACAACTAGAATTCCTATGAAATCTCACAGGACATCTGCTCTTTTCTTTTTCATTTAAGGAAAGGACAGCATAAGAAAATAGCCTCCTATCTGAAGGAAACCAAGCCTCATTTTAATTGTCACTACTCCCTGCCAGACCACGTGTCCCATGGATTATTTAAATAATCTAATATAAAATCTTTACAAATATAAGTCTCCTGCAAATAAAAGTTGGTGATAGTTGTTAAGCATGAGACAAGCATAGGATTTTTTTTTTATTTTTTTATTTTTTTGTGGTACTAGGCATTGACCTTGGGGCCTTGTACATGCTAGGCAAGCACTCTACCACTGAGCTAGATAAAATACAAAAATTCTACTCTGGAAAAGGAGATCAAAGAGGATATCAGAAAGTAGAAAGATATCTCTTGCTCATGAATAGGAAGAACCAACATAGTGAAAATGGTCATATTCCAAAAATTGTACAGATTTAATGCAATCCAATCAAAACACCATTAACATACCTAACAGAAATAGAGAAAACATTCCTAAATTCATCTACAAACAGAAGAGACCTAGAAGAGTAAAGGCAATCCTGGGCAACAAAGGCAAAACAGGAGGCATTGCTATCTCTGACTTGAAATTATACTATAAAGCTGCTGTGATAAAGTCAGCATAATACCGGAAAAAAAACAAAAACAAACAAACAAAAAAACACCTGAGGAGCAGTTAAACAGATTAGAAGATGCAGACACAACTACAAACACACTCTGCCACCTTAACTTTGACAAAGGGGCCAAGTATGTTCACTGAAGAAAGATAGCCTCTTTAATATACAGGGCTGTGAAAACTGGGTTTCAACATGCTAGAGACTAAAACTAGACCCATGTCTATCACCATGCACTAAAGTCAAAATGGATAAAAGATCTAAATATTAAATCAGAAACACTAAATCTACTAGAAGAGAAAGTAGGTGGAAATCTTGAAAACATACGGGTAGGCAGAGAATTCATGAACAAAATCCAAACTGCACAGGAAGCACACTTCAAAAGAACCAACAACTAGGATCTTATTACAATGTTTTTGCACACCAAAGATATCACAAACAGACTGAAAAGTCAACCCACAGAGCGGGAAAAAATTTTAGCTGCCACCCAACAAATTCAAAGACCCAATCCAAAAATGGGCTTCTGAGATGAACACACACTTCTCAGACGAAGAAATAAAAATAGCAAATAAATATATGAAAAAATGTTCAACATCATTGGTCATTTGGGAGATTGAAATTAAAACAGCACTGAGATTCCATCTCACCCCGGTAAGAATGGCTATCATCAAGAAATCAACCAACAACAAATGCTGCAGGTGCTGTGGGAAAAAGGAACTCTTCTCCACTGTTGGTGCAAGTGCAGACTGCTGAAACCACTATGGATATCAATGTAGAGATTCCTCAAAAAACTAGAACTAAAGGCCCCATTCAACCCAGCTATTTCCCTTCTGGGTATTTTCCCAGAAGAACTGAAAACATCATACCACAGCAATGTATGTGCACCTATGTTTATAGCAGCACAGTTTGTCATAGCTAAATATTGGAAACAACCGGAAAGCCCATCAATTGAGGAATGGATAAAAAGATGTGGTATTTTTATACAATGGAGTACTACTCAGCTATAAAGAAGGATAAACTTGAGACATTTATAGGGAAATGGGATGCAACTCAATACCATACTCATAAGTGAAATAAATCAGACTCACATGTGTAAACATATTGTTTCCCTAGTGTAAGAAGCTGAAAGAGTAAATAAGACCCAAAATGTGTAATAGATATTGTGAAATGGGAAGAAACTGCTCAAAAGGAAACAGAAACTAGAATGGAGGAAGGGAGAAAAGGAAGGGAAAAGGAAATTATATACACACACACACAATAATTAAGATAATTATACTACTAAATGCTATTAGTTCACTGAAAAGAAAGGTTTATGCCTATATTGTTTGATCAATTTTTCATGCCTATATCTTGTAATATGAGCAACTACTCTGAAGATAACAATATGCAATGTACTAACTCCTCTAATCTTGTTTTGAAACTTTATAGCATTGTTTTTATACTTTATTTTTCTTTTCTTTGAAATAAAAAAAAAATCTAGCTATATCAGAAGGAGGAAGCTGGGCATAGTGGTGCACACCTATAATCCCAGCACTCTGCAGGCTAAGGCAGGAGGATTGCCATGAGTTTAAGGCTGAACCTGGACTACATAGTGAGATCCTGTCTCAGAACCCCTCCCCTCCAAAATGAAGGCAGAAAATTATTTCCTCTAACCCTTGCAAAGTGACACATTCATGACAAGAGAGTTAAAGAACAATCTTCTACAAACCCCACATATTCACACTTTCTGTGTCCTGACAGAAAATCACAGAAAACCTTGACTGTTCTGTGACCCAGCCGGATGTAAGATTTTCTCTACATGCTTGAACTCAACCCAGGCCTTGAGGATTCTCAAGCACTAATAAAGGTATTTAGTTTATTGCATCAAACACTGAAAGAAAAAGGTCATGTCCCTGAGCCAAACTTCCTTGAACTGCATACTCTAATCCCCTCACTTCAGACACCTAGGTAGAATACCCCATCCTTTTCTCTGTTTGGTGCAATGTTATGCTGTAGCACTAAGAACCCTTACTGTTTCTTTCTTTGTAATCTGTACCAGCACCACCTGCAATGGCTTCAGGCACTCATGGGGACTCCTCTGTCACTGCTTTGGGGATGACTCCGCCCATGAAGTCATCACAGTACAAAACACAGTGATAGAGGAGGTCATCCCTGGATGCTGATGATTGATGATTTTCAAGAAAGTCTTGCTTTTATCCAAACAAACCCTTATTGATTGCCATGTGCTGGATACTGCTGTACAAGGCACAGAAAATACAAAGAGGCCCAGATGTTATCCTTCCCATAAAGAAACTTCAAATTAAATTAGAAGTCATTTGAAAGCCAAATTCTGTTTACTTGCATCAAGCAGAAAGATATTAACCTTTCTGCTTCGGATATCTTTAAGAATTCCTGGGAGTAGGGGAGCACATGAACATACTAGCTTTTTAAAACAGTCTCACAAAAAGAATTTTTGTACATAACAAATAGTCTCCCCAGTAGATCATTTTCTTGGCGTATTTAAGTAATCATATTAGTCTGTCTGCAACAGGAAAGCAAATTTTTCACTGTCTCTTCCTTCCTTCCTGTTTATCTTAGCAGGCACCTCCTGTCCAGAAAGGACTTGTGCCAAGTGTGCAACTGGCTCCAATGTGAAGGACCCAGAAGTGTGTGTGTTCAGGTCAGTCTATGCTAACACTCCCAAAAGGCAAAAGGAGAAGATACAATATTGTAATGTATGAAAGCAATTCATGCTTAGCCTCTTCTGCATCGGGTGGACTGTCATCTACACAGAGGAGCCCCGGGTAATCATGACTATAGAGGGAAAAGAAACCAGCCTATTGCTGGACACTGGTGCAAGTCTCTCGGTTCTTCTTTTCAATCCTGGCCTTCCTTCCAGCCGTCATACCTCAGTGAAAGGAATCAATGAAGAGGAGGTAATTTGCTATTTTTCACAACCCTTGGGCTGTTACTGGGGTGGTTTTCTTTCCTCACATTCCTTTTTGATAATGCTTGAAAGTCCAGTCCCTCTTTTGGGGAGAGATATTTTCTCTTTTTTAAATACCGTAACCAGATATGCACCCAGGTCAGGTACACTGTCTTCCCCTTGTGGACACAGAAATAAAGCCTGAAGTATGGGCAACTGAATGCAAAATAGGTAGGGCATTAAGAGCTGCTCCAGTACAGACACATCTCAGATTCTACTATTTTTCCTAACCAGAGACAATATCTTTTAACACCTGAAGTTAAAAAAGGATTATTACCTATAATTGATAACCTAAGGGCACAAGGCTTACCTGAGCCCTGTAACAGCCCATGAAAGCCTCCCATCTTGGGAAATCAAAAACACAATGGAAAATGGCTATTAGTACAGGACCTTAGATTGATAGAGGAGGCAGTAGTGCCAATTAACCCAATGGTAACTAACCCATATACACTCCTCTCTCAAATTCCAGAAGATGCCAGTTGGTTTTCAGTGTTAGATTTAAAAAATGCTTTCTTGCAGGGCATGGTGGTGCATGCCTGTAGTCCCAGCACTTGGGAGGCTGAGGCAGGATGATCATTGTGCATTGGAGACCAGCCTGGGCTACAAAGTGAGCTCAAGGCCAGCCTCAACTGCATAGCGAGACCCTGTCTCAAAAAGACAAAACAAAAAAAAATAAAAGATGCTTTCTTTTATATTCTTTTACATACAGATTCACAGTTCCTCTTTGCTTTTGAAGATCCTCATGACCAGGCCTCTCAACTGACATGGACAGTTTTTCCCCAAGCGTTCAGGGGTAGTCTACAACTTTTTGGATTTAAAGCTACAGGCCTACCCAAGATGAAAATGGCTGGTGTCTACCGAGGGCCTTTAGATAGA